TTGGAGCAAGTAAATGTAATTTATACTTATATTACATTTATATAAATGAAGACATTGCTTGTTAATATACATTTATATTTAAATTATATTTATTGTGCATATGTTAATAGTTCATGGATTTGATTCAAATCATCCCTCGTGAATTATTATTTTGGTTATTTACATTTTAAAGGTTATTATTATTATTATTATTATTTTGTAATTAAAAAAATGTATGCTTTGACGTTGAATTCTTAACGTTTTACTTGTTTTTTTTAATTGTTTTATTCTATAAACAATTAAAGGTGTGCATGCGTTTTAGTTCATAATAAACCTGGTAGTCTGGTACAATCATGAATATATGACGCTTGTGTAACGGATAAAAGCAACATGACTTTAATTTTGCTTTAAGTTTTCATTTTTATTTAGCAATAATGCAACCAGATTTATGCTTATTTAAAAGTAAAGTATGATTATGTTATTTATGGTTCTGATATTTGCAAAAGTTATGAAATCAATATTTTGATACCAAAATATTCAATTATTTGTATAAATTATTTGTGATTGATGTAATATTGTTACCAAAGTAACATCTACTCCCTCCGTCCCAAAATTATAGTTCATCTTTCCTTTTTGGTTTGTCCCAAAATAATAGTCCACTTCTAAAAATAAATAACATTTTTACCTAAATACCCCCTCATTATTACTTAACCAACTAAGCATTTAATGGAACATTAAATTCAAAGTAAGGACAAAACTGTCATTTTATTAAATAAAGTTAGTGGTAATTAATGTTTTTCTTAATATGTGTGTTTTTTGTCTGTTGACAATAATATTGGGACGGAGGGAGTATTATTTTAATCAATTTGGTTGTAAATACATTAAGTATTATATGTTTTTTGTGAATTGTGAATTGTGTCCGATCCAAATGTAGACACAATTTTAAAAAAAATATTTTAGGTTGTCAATAAACTTCAATTATGACATTATTTATTTTCTCAGTAAAAGTGATTTCTATTGTGAAAATTAATTTACAAAGAAATTAATATTTTGGTTTATGTGTTTATTAATGCGGATATTAATCGACCCAAATGTAGGTTAATATTTGGTAGTATAAACACATGTTTTATGATAAATATGCGGCAATTTTTAGGTTACATGTTGTTAATAAGTCAATCCAAAAAGGGGTTTATTAATTGATATGATATATTGTCAATTCTTATTATCAAAATTTACAGTTTATGTGTTTATTAATGCGGGTATTAGCCGACCCAAATATAGACTGATATTTTGCCAAATAAACATATATGTGGTGATAAACATGTGGTGATTTTTTTGGGTTCCATGTGATTAATAAGTCAATCCAAAGAGGGGCTTGTTAATTGACATGTTTTATTGTCAATGTTTATCTCTAAAACAATGATATTTCTTGCAAGTTAGTATTACTGTCCAAAGACTTGATATTAATGTTGTGTTGATACCTTGTAAAGATGTCATAAATTGAATTTATTGATTACGGTTTATGGATTAATGAGCATAAAAATAGATTTGCTCATGTTTGAATTGTGGTATTATATCTGCTAACATTGATCACATTTATGATTCATGTAATCAATGTGATTAACTTTAAGGAATGGAATGAGGGCATTATGTTAATTCTCAATTGCATGGATATTGACCTTGCATTTTGGATAGAGCAACATTCTTTGAGGATGTTGAGTTTGGGGGAGAAACAAGGTTAAAACATTATCCTTAAGGAGGAATCAATCTTGATTCCTATTATTGCTTTCGATAGTATGCAGATTATGAATTAGTGATCGACAATGTTATACAATCTCCTATTCTGAATACACAAACTTAACAACCTCAACTTTGGATATCATATGCGTTGTACCACATTTTTCATCAATTTATTATCTCTTTTGGTTTTGAGGCAAATACAATAGATGATTTTGTGTATCACAGATTAAGTGGGAGTAAATTTATATTTCTGGTTTTGGGAAGATATCTACGCAAACTAAGTTTGGATCATAAGAAAGTAGCCAAATGGATTTTAAGATATCTATATATAACAAAAGGCTATATGCTCAATCATAGGAAATCAAATGTTTTAGAGATCATTTTTATTATGAATCTGATTTTATTAGATGCCAAAATAGTTACTGATCCATATCGGGATACTTTTACATTTTAGCATGATAAGCCATTTCATGGAATAGACTTCGGTAACTTCTTCCATAATGGCAACATAATTTGTAGCATGGAATATGGTTGCGGAAATTTGTCACGAGGCTACACATTATTGGTATTGAAAGACCACTAAAGTTGTGATAATAAGTGAGCAATGTTATATTCCAACAACAGAAGTTCTAATAAGTCAAAATATATTGACATCAAGTGTCCTTCTGTTAATACAATAGTGCAAAATGGAAATATATATAGCACATATGAAGAAACTCCATAAATGTGGATCCGCTCATAAAGGGATTACCTCCTTAGGTCTTTCATGAGCATACTACACACGTTGGTGTGATATTTGGTTTTAGTGAGAGTTTTATGGTGATGTATGTTTTGTTTAAGAACAATTATGTTTTTCTGTACAGAATTAAGAATTCGGTTAACTTCACTATTAGTTGCACTTATTTGAAGTTTGATCTCACTTCAAACTAAATAGGAACTCGTTGGAAATCTAAACCACACATCATGTTTAATCTATGTCGTTAGTTATGTATGTATATGTGACCATTGATAGATTTAGTTACGTAAATTGTAACGAAGGCCGCTTTGATCCTATACTATTATGATTAGTGGACGAGATTGTTTAAGAGTACCAATGTTATAATAACATTCATTAAAGCGCTTATACAGTTATACGTACATTTATATATTTGTGGTCCAATGGGAGATTGTTGGATAATTATGGGACCACTTCATAAATATGTACGTTATATTATTAAATCCAATTATTATGGTAAAAATATAAATTGTTGATGGACCGATTTATAGAATATTAATTTACCTTGTGGGTTGAGTTCCCGGTTTGACTCAAGATCCTCAAGATCCCTTCCATCTCTCACTTTAGGGTATATCTCCATCTATATATACATGTGATGAGGAGCAATCAAGACACGCGAAATACACATGCAAATTCGTTTAGGATTTGCTGAGGGATTCTAGAGAGAGCTCTTGAGATCAACTGTAAAACCCAACCCTAGTTCTTCAGATCCGAAGATTATAATGAAATCAGGTATGTAATCCTCTTTCTTGTTTAAGTTTTCTTTTAACTAGATTCGAGATTAAAGATCTAAAGTTATGCTTCCGCGTTATATGTTTTGGTTATGAAAATAACCAACATTGTTGCCCTTAATGCGCACATACGTATAAATGTAATTAGAACATATTTTATATTTGTTTATTGTGTCATCAAAATCATGACTCACTAGAAGTTTGGTAGCAATTAGCAAAACCTATAGAAGACTTCACGGGTAAGCTTTTTTTTCATATTATGCATTGACCCTAGATGCATATATTATATTTTGCCCATTATGTCATCGTGTAAAGCATTTTTTTTCTATGGTGTTTATTATGAAAGTCATAAAGTGGGGCTCACTGAGTTTTGAGAGAATAGTTGACCTTTAGAAGTCAACGCTTAAAATATCTCTGAGGACGATACTTTGGTAGCGTAATTTTGAACATTTTTTTTGAAAATTGATACGTAAATACCTGGACTAGGCTTAGGTGTTCGTGGTGACACATATCAACTGTATTTACAATAAATATTAAGAAATGGATTTTGTAATTATTAGGTTAGCTTTCGCATAAATTTTATAAGTTCTTGACATATATGAACGTAACTTAGTTTGAATGAATTAGATATAAAATTTATACCTAAGCTTAGCTTCTAGGTGTTAAAATATTATTTTGATGATTAGTACTAGGGATGTTCGTTTGGATCGGTTTGATCCAATCCGATCAAGTGAATCTAAATAGATTTCGGTTTACAAAACATGAATCCAAATAGTCCAAATTAAATTTAAATCCAATCCGATTCTACCAAATTAAAATTCAGTTTGATCGATTTTGTTGATCGATTTCTACAATTCGGTTTTTTAAAGTCAAGACATTTTGGAAAATATATAACTTGAATATTAGCCAAATCTATAAAAGTAACTAAAAAAAATTATTTATATATATATATATATATATATATATATATATATATATATATATATATAAACAACTACTAAAGAAAAATAGATTATAATTAATATTTTATTGACAAAAACTTTTGATAAGTACATATTAAAATATTATATCAAATGAAAATTTATAATAATTAAAAATAATAATATAGTAAATTTATAAATAGTTACCACACATTTAAAAATAAATAATAAGTTGTTACTCGGTTTTTTTGAACTATTCGGTTATTATTTTATAAACCAAAATCAATCCGAAATTCAAAATAATAATTCGGTTTTGTTGAAAATCAATCCAAAATCTGAATATCTAGCACCAAATAGTCCGACCCAAATTGTCCAATTGGACAATTCGGTTTTATCCGAACAGTGAACAGCCCTCGTTATGACCATATTACATTACGATTTGAATAGTAAGTGTAGGTTTCAATCACTAAATTGCCTTAGTAATACAATATGTTAACTTTACTTTTTGTATAAGATAATACTTAAATTTGTATACTGTCAATAAATTGAAACTAGTAATATATACATTGATTGTAAATATAGTGAAAAATATGGTGCAAAGTGCAAAACCTGAAATGGTAACATCTGTGAATTTAAGGGTTTCATTTTAGGGTTTCCTTAGTGGAAGATTAAAAAATGAAAAAGACAAGGGTAAAATGGTCATTTTGAATAATCCAACAGCTAGGTTGTTAACCCAATGACCAAATCCTCAAACCTCTGACTTTCAGTATACGACAGGGACCAAATTAAATTTGTAATTGACTCTTGACATTTACTTGAAACAAATAATCATTAACATTATAATAATAATAATAATAATAATAATAATAATAATAATATCCCACCAAACCCTTCATTCCTCTCATAAACATTTAATATCAATAGACAATAAAATTAGCTAAACATAAAAATAAAAATAAAAATAAAAATAAAGACTACAACACCCTCTTCCAAAACCTAACTTCCAGACATGAAAACAAATTACTGCACTGAGAGATTTTCAACAGAAAGATGGTCAGGATTCATATCTGCAGGTGGTGGTGGTGGTGGAGTTGAAGCAGAAGCAACCTTGTGCATTATCATTGCCTCTGCCACACGGATTGCCCTTTGTGATCCAGTCATTGTCACTTTCCTGCCACAAGCCATTTATATATATATATATAATATTAGAATATTTAAAAGAATTAATTTCTTTGTATTAAAATATTTGGGAAATTGAAAATATTAAGAAGCTGCATAATATTACCTGTCGCATGTCCCAGATATGAAATCACCTCTTTCAGAAATCTTGATCCTGGCTCCACTGATCTGACTGATTTCCATGATGTTCCTGCCACCACGGCCCACAACAATCCCTATATGCTCATCTGCAACACCTAGAGTAACCGAATTACTCATATCTTCCTACAAAACGAAACCATGATTTATTTTACTATGAAATTTATAATAGAAATTGATTTAAATAAAAGGTATTGAACAAAGGCGGAGTTGTTAGGAAATTAATAACCTTATTGTTTTGAAACTTTCCACCGCCCCCATGTGGTCCGTAGTTTGAGGGGGCATTGTAAGGTGCTGTGGAACAAACAAAAATAAGCATATTGAATATTATTAACATAAAGTTAAGGGGCAGATTGCAAGAAATAGCAATGTAGTTTTCTTCTTTTACCTATATGTTTAATATACTTTAATCCTACAGATTATAGCAATATTTAACCCTAAGAAGCTGTAAGCGATTATCGTTTGGTTATTTTAATTATGTGGCATCGTATTAGTGAATGATGATGTAGCAATGTAAATGCCAAGTAAGCATTCAACAAATAAGAATCAACAAAGTTGTAAGGATTACCTCCCACATGCATAGTGTAGTTTTATTTTTTGTACTACTTATGAAAACTTTTTTTTTTTGTCAACAAAATCATACTATTTATTTTTCAAACTTCTTTTGGTTAACTAGCCTAGTTTTTATTTGGTTAATTTGGTCAATTTGGGTTAGACTTTATTATGTTAATTTCATTATTGATAATTATGTTACATATAGTTTTTCTAATAGCTTTTCATATTTTCAAAAAAAAAATAATACAAAAAATATAACTAAACAAATTTCAGAAGTTTAAAGATTTACAAGAATAAAATCAATATAACAAAGTAAAAGGAATATTGTCTAAGGGCCTGTTTGATAATGAACTGATTGGGTCCGGTCAGCAAGTTTCGGCTGACTCGGTCCGACCAGGCTGTTTGGTAGAGCCCTAAATTGGCTGACTCGGTCAGCAATAGCTGACCAATCTACTGACTCGGTCCAATTGAAAATTGTTGCTGACCCAAAAAGAAAAGCCATCGTTCCCTTTGTGCCCTTGCGTCCTAAAAGAAAACACACAAAAACGCACGCCTCTACTCAACAGCCGGCATCGCTTCTTCGTTTCCACCACTCCTCATCCACACAACCTGAAATCAGCAGCTTCCTCAGGCGACTTCGACGCCTTCTCAGCCTCTGGCAATGTCGACCTCCACAACAACAGGTACGCATTTGGTTTTTTGGTTTTTTTTTTTTTTTTTTCTGAAGTCAGTTGATGATATGATTTTTTATCTATATGAAATCAAACCATGCGTTTATATCAGATTATTTGTATGAAATCAAGAATGGAGTTGAGATGAGATTTGATTATAATGTATTTACATAGTATGTACAGTATGCAAGTCCAGACAGCTATGCAAGAGGATTTCAACAAAACTTCTCATCTGGTTATTCATTTGGTTTAGATTTTTCCTTTCAGGTGTATTTATATGTTTTGAGGGTTTCATTTATGTAATTTTGTTGTATGGATAGCAAGGATATCAAATTACTTGATTGTTAGATATCTTCTAAACCTTTGCCATATGATATTTAAGCATGTTTCAAAATGGTTGTTGTTGATTATGTTTCCAATTTCTTAAGGCTGGCTAGCAAGATGGATTATAGATTATTAAAACTATTAGTATGTTCTTTTAATTGAATTGCATTAAAAGACCATCTGTTTGTTGTTTTAATTGAATTGTATTAAAAAACCATTATTAAGTATATGGATGAAGTCAAACAAATAGCGAACAAGCTAAATAATGGTTTCTAGAGTTTCCTTTCTTTTAAAGGTCTTGATCTATGAATTAAGTTAAAGCCATGAGGTGCAGGTTGAAATCATTTTGGGTTGCTCAGTGTCTCTTTTTAGGTCCTTGGGACTAAGATATTATATACCTTTTGAAAATATAATTTTGTTGCCTAATTAGACAAGAAACCAAAAGATTGCATTCCTTTGATCTTTTAGTTTCAATTTCCTCTATTAGACATCTGTTAGTATTTGTGTGTTTTTGTCATCTCAATTGGAGTTCTAAAATGCCCCCCTAATATTATACATCTATTAGTATTTGTGTGTTTTTGGTTCTTTTGTCATACCACGAAAAAATAATAGAACATAAGGGTAAAATTGTCATTTTCAACAGTCGGCACAGTCAGTCAGACCCATAATCAAACAATATGGTTTCAGTCAGACTTCAGACCCAGTCAGACTCTGACTCAGTCAGATCTTACTCAGTCAGCAACTATCAAACAGCCCCTAACTGGTAAAGTATTTACTTTACATGTGGGATGTCTAGAGTTGAAATCCCTACAACCTTTTTTTTTATTTGGTATTATTTGAATGCTTATTTGGCAGTATATGTATTGCCACATCATCCTTAATAGAATGCCACATCATCCTTAATAAAATGCCACATAATCAAATGGTATTCTCCAGGTTAAATATTGCTATAATCAGCAGAAATCTGTAAGCATGTTGCTATTATGGGTAAAAATTAAAGTATAGTGCCCCTATAAGTAAAAGAAGCAAATTTCATTGTTATTTCCTGCAATTTTTCCTAAAGTTGAGTTCAAAGAACAGCATAATTGAACTGCATGCTATGTATGAGGGAAATCAGTAACAGAAATAAATATAAAAAATAAAAATAAAAAAGCATACCAGCATATGGAAATGGGGGGCCAATGGACTGAAGATAGTAGAGATCTTCAGATAATTTAAATAAAATCAGATTAATAGCTTGAACCAGTTGTTGTAGGGTGCCAATCACTGTTACAAGCCTATCATTTAATCCAATATAGTTGTGATCCTGAGGGGAGATCTTAATGTTAGCTCCAGAATCTTCAATGAAGGACCTGTAATAACATATCAAAAATGGAAGTTGTCACCAATTTAAAATTACAAAGTAATTTAGATCAAATTTGGTGTTAGCAGCATTCTTACCTAATCATGGATCCACCCTTTCCAATGATTCCACCACATGAGCTATTAGGTACAATTAGTCTGACCTTTGATCTTGGCTCACCCTCATCACCATCTTCAGCATAAAACTATAAAAGAATATTTTGTAAGTTGAGTTACATGAGGCATAAACTATAAAATCATGTATACTGTGTTATAAGAATTACCTCATTGAGCAACTTAGTTAGGATAAGTTCAACAGCTTCAAGAACTTCATCGGTTGTTCCAGACACCATGATAACCCTATCAGATGTTCCTGGAAAATACTCATAATTGCGTGATAACTGAATCCTTGCATTGGATCTTGATTGGAAATCAGAAATTGTTGTTCCACCCTTTCCAATGATGGAACCAGCTTCAGCATTTGATGCAAGAAACCTCAGATATGTTGTCTCTATACCATCTTGAACAAAAAATGAAATGTTACTAAGACATAAAGACAGTGAGACTCAGGTTTATGTAATGTTTTACTTTAAATTTATTGAAATATAAGCATGTTAGATCTGATTTGCTTTGGTGTGTTTGTACAGGGGGGTGAAGTTATGGAGATTAGGACAAGGAAGAGCAACAGCCCTTTCAAATACATGGGCACCGGTGTTATTGAAATAGGCAAAGCTCCATTGAGTCCCAATCTCCCACGCAGATAAACACACAAAGGTCTGCCATTTATTTATTGCATCTAATCAATAGATCAAAACTAGCACGTAAAAATAACGAACCAGATATGAAATTATTTCAAACTAACCTAACATTAAATTTCTATAGCTTATACATCTTCGACACGCATATCCTTACCATACTTACTATATTTCTTAAAAACCTGATTAAAATACATGTCATAAAATCAACAAAAACAAATCAAGCTCCACCTCGTCAACGAAAACACAAAATTTGAAGAAATGTAACAAACAATTAGGGTTTCAAAGTCCACGTACGCCTGTTATATGTGTTGTAAAAGGGAATGACAAACAAATAAAAATTAGGGTGAAATAGGAGATCAAATAGCGGCCAGAGATCGAAAAACAACAACAAATTATAACAATACTAATAATACCTGACGGAGGAAGTGACTGTGACTTGTGAGTCGGAGATTTGGCCGCCGGAGCCTCCTCGTTGGACGAAGCATAACCAGAATCCGGCGATACCATTGCGTTAGTGCGTGTTTTTCAGCTCTAGACGTAGAGAGATAAAGAGACAGGAGATGAAAATTATGTCCAAGTTTCAGAGGAATTTTTGCTCAGTAGAGAGAGAGAGAGAGAGAGAGAGAGAGAGAGAGAGAGAGAGAGAGAGAATGCAAGTAGTAGTATTATACCTGAGTTCAGGCCGCCGATGCAGTTTGATGTCCACAACTTGCAAACTTCCATCCCTCTCCTTCCGTGAGAACCGCCTCTATCCTTCATTCTTCTTCGACCGAATTACATAAACGGTCCCTCAACTACTTGCCTACTTTCATTTACGTTCTTTTAATTTATATTTTTAAATAAAACATGTATCAATCATGTTCTTTATTTATGGTAATTGTATACATAAAATATCAATAACAGTTAAGATGATTATTATTTTTTGATATTTTTCTCCTTATGCGATTTGAAGGGGAAAAAAGTCGTCATACTATTAAATTGTTCATAATCATTGTAGTAGATCTTTCTACTTAAATAATTACTTGTTTACTTTTTTCCTTCCAAAGTTTTTTATTAGCACGATCTCTAGTAACGAAAGGGGATATACTAAAATCTGTAACAAATTATTTCAAATGTTTCATTGTCAATGTAACAAACATTTATTTTTGCTTTTAAAACCTAATTGTAATACTATGTAATAATAGGTCTTTTCGATTACAATGATTTTTCGAAAAACAAAATTATCTTTTTATTGCCTTCTAACAACATTTTCAGTTAAATAGTGTTTTAAACATTTTTAGTTAAATAGTATTTTTAAAACGTTTAGAGATGGTTTGTTTGTGTCATTTCCTACAAATAATATTCATATTTTTCCATTTGATAAAAAGAAGCAACATAAAAACTAATATATAAATTTCATTGAAAGTGTGTGTGTGTGAGAGAGTGAGAGAGAGAGAGGGAGAGAGATATAGATAGATAGATAGATGTAAACTATAAATATTGTGTGAATGTATAACTATTTGTGATCCAATCATTTAATATGGGTATTATAGTAATTTTTTAACTAAATTAATTATTATCTAAATTGTTATGGATGATATTTTCATTATATTATTTTCTTGTATCTAACATATTGAACCGCCTAAGATCTTGTACAAGTGAATATCTTGAGATTGCGATCGTATTTCTTGTGTAGGAATAAAGGCTTATCTAGGTATGGACTAAGTACCTATATAGGACAACACAGAAGCAGATGCATTAGCCAATATTGGTTCTTCCTTCAAGATTCATACTAATATTAAGATTCCAATATCCTATGTCATCAAACTTACAATAAAAGACACCAAGGATGAGGTAGTGTATGTGTATGATCTTGGACCCAAAGGATCTTGGATCTCACCCATCTTTCAATACCTCAAAGATGGATCCATCCCTGAAAATGAAAAATACCCGAAAATCTTCAGGATTAAAGCTTCCAGGTTCAACATTATTGAAGATATCGTGTTCATAAAATCAGCAGCAAGTCCCTATCTTAGTTGTCTTGAATATAATGAAGCTAATATCATACTCAAGGAAATCCATGAAGGAGAATGTGGTAACCATACATGGTCAGGGTGCTCTTCTCCAAGATCTTGAGGACAGGTTACCACTAGCCAACAATAAAGAGCGATGCAATAGAGTATGCTCAAAAATGTGATGCATGCCAAAGACATAGAAATATCTTGCACCAACCAGCTGCACCTCTACATTCAATAATATCTCTATGGTCATTCATGAGATGGGGCATGGACATTGTTGGCAAACTTCATATAGCACCAGGTGGTAAAGTTTTCATGCTAGTAATGATAAACTATTTTTCTAAATGGATAGAAGCTGAAACCTTTATCCAAGGGAGAGAAAAAGAAGTGATATCCTTCATCAAGCGCAACATCTTAGCCTGGTCTGGTATCCCATCTGAAATTATATGTGATAATGGATCTCAGTTTATAGGTAAAAGAACACAAAACTTATGTGCAAGTTGGGGAATCAAGATGATCACTTCTACACCCATTCATCCTCAAGCAAATGGTCAGGCCGAGTTGAGCAATAATATCATAGTCAATAACCAAAAGAAAAGACTCACGGAAAAAATTGGAAGATGGGCGAAAGAATTACCTTTGCTTCTTTGGGAAGATAGGATCACAGCCAAAAACTCTACAATAAAAATACCGTATTCTTTGGTATTTAGAACTAAAGTTGTGATTCCCCCAAAAGTCATGATCCTTAGAGCCATGACAAGATTCCACAATAAAGAAGAAAATAATAAGATCTTAGCTAAAGTTCTTGACATAGTAGACAAACTTAGGGGTCTTGCCAAGATAATGATAGCAGCATATCAGCAAAGGATTGCCAATATTACAACATGAATATTAGAATAAGAAGATTCCAGGTAGGAGATCTTGTCCTTAGAAAAGTTTTCCAAAATACAGTCGAACATAGTGCAGGTAAACTTGCCCCAAAATAGGAAGGTCCTTATGTTATAGATTCAGGAGTTGGAAAGGAGACATATTAGCTATCTACCCTAGATGGTCAAATATTCCCAAGATCCTGGAATGTTATGCATCTTAAAACCTATTTTGCATAAGCCCAAGATCTTGGCCTAAAATACTCAGATATGTTTTCTTTTCCAATTTCAATTATCAATTACATATTTTCATTATTGATACTGACTTAAGCATCATAGGGGTGTTAGCCAAGCTAACACCCACCCTTTACCCAAGATCTTTGTTTTGCAAACACTGGAGATCTTGACCAAGATATTAGGGACTAATCATCCCTCCAAATATCTAAGGTACCAAGATACCTTCTAAGGTTTAAAGATTATCATCGTTATACATAATAAGGTTGAGACACCTCGCTTGGACGCATAAATTCTAGCAATAGTCAAAGTATATGGGGATCAACTTATGCCTTAGTAACTGAAAACCTCCATATTGCTAACTATATGTTAGAACTTAAGCAAAAATCAATGGAATGACACGGGCATGTCATACAGTCGGGAACTTATACCCACACATTTAACATTGACATGTTAAACGAAAGCATCAGGGAACATCCCAATGATGTGGTATATCCCAAGGATCCAACATTTTCATGTTGACTTAAGGTTTGAACATAACCATGTTCACAAAGCTAAGAATTACAAAACATTAGAATAACTTAAGTCTAAGATACAAAGATATTAACGAAAGGCTGAACATAATCATGTTCATCAAAACTAAAGTTCTCAAGTTATGGGAATATCCTTAGTACTTGAATTTCACATTTTAATCAAATATTAAACATAATCATGTTCATAAAAGACAAAATTCTTAAGATATTAGAATATCCCAAGGTTCAGGTACTCATGATTGAATAATCATGTCCACAGAAGCTCGAGTGTTTAAATTCTTGAACATACAACTGAGTACATTCATCAAGTCTAAGATTTTGAAGATATCAGAAGAATCTTCGAGCAATGCAAAAGAACCTTAAAGAAATTCATCCAATATATTAGGATATTATATGAATCTAAGATTCTACGCGGATTTCAAACTTCCAAGATTAAACTTAAGACATCTAAAGTAACTTCTAACGTACACAATCTTTTGTTGGAAAATTGTTGTTAACCAATTTACAAAAATGGGTTTTCCCCATTTTTTTAACACGTCCAAAATTGATTTAATATGAATGAGAAACTAATCTTTAAAGTAAGGGTGTTGGAAGAAGTAAATAAAAGAGTTTAATGGGTGGAAGAAAGAAAAGAAAAGTTCAGGGACCTTTCTTGCAAATATTTCTTTCTTTCGTAACTGAAATTGTAACTAATATTACAATTTAATTACATATTAACACACATTAATCTTTGTGATTAATAGAGGTGCTTAAACAAACACCCGGTAGCGAGCGAATTTGTTTTAAGGACAATGTGTTAAACACATGCCTTAGTTTTTCTATTTTATTGTTTGTTTTCGTACATTACCGGAATATTATTCTTACAAATTCGTTTGTACGAAACGAACTAGAAATCAGAAACAATTTACTTGCATTATTTTGATTTTGTACCATTTTCATAAGGGAAAAAATGGATTTTTTTGTGATTTTGAAGCATCTTTGGTCATTAAGTCATTAAGACGTGTATTTGTTATTAAGTATCGAATTTTCCAGCTTCGGTACTGATTCTTTAGAGTACCTAATAGGTTAAGAGGCTAGCTTAACTCAAAAACACAATTTACGTGTTTCTGTGAAATGCTATAATTTGTCCCAATATTTGAAAAATCATAACTTAATCATGGATGCTCATTTTTGGTTGAAACCAATTCTAAAAGTTTGGTATATGAGTCTACTTCGTTTCATTAATTTGGCCGAAAGATGTAAACAACTCTAACTAGGGTGAAAAATACGATTTTCACTGACTAGTTAGATTTTAACAGCTATGATACACAGTTTTGTAAAATCCATAATAAATTGTAGAAAAATTGTATGAACTTGCGAAAGTAGTCCTGTAAAGCTAAGAGACAGGGCTACTAGATTATGAACTTAGATTGCATTTTTGACAAGTTTAAGTGGGGCTAAAGCAGTCTTGAACAGGCTGCATTGTTTTGTGAAAAACAAAAAGGCTTTGTTTAGTCAAAAACGACTTCAATTTTATGTAAAACAGCTTTGGAAATCAGAAAACAACTTGGTGTTTCGGAAAAACAACCCGGAAAACTGAAAAAGCAGCTTGGTTTTACTAAAAAACATCACATTTTAAATAGTTTTGTTGAAAGAAAACATCAGATTATTCAATATCATAATTTATGAATCAGTTTTCTGCATGAGAAATCAAGTTTTAGAATTTCTGCATCAGAAATCAAGTTTCATAATTGATCAAATATAGATTTTTAATTATGTTTAGTTTTGTCCAAGCAAGAGGCAGGCAAGCATATTTTCTGGAAACTAGAATTCTAAACATTTATATTTAGTGTATAAATGATTTCAGAAATGTCACCATCCAAAGTGGAATGATTTCCGAAGTAAACTCTATGGATGTTAACTCCATTGAGTGATGGATTGATATGGGTGATACACGTCATGTGTGCTCAAAAGAGGGAGTGACTCAAGAACTCTAAGGTTGTCCAAGTTGAGGCAAAAATTTATTCTTGAAATTGTGATTCTAAACACTTAAACTTGGTGTTTAATATATTCTAGAAATGGTATCACATAGAAAAGAGCTAACACTTAATGATGTGTTGTATGTTCCATTCAT